TCTCTCTCTCTCTCTCTGTGTGTGTGTGTGTGTGTGTGGCATCCTGGCCACCTCCTGTTCTATTCTCTCTCTCTCTCTCTCTCTCTCTCTCTCTCTCTCATGCATGTGATGTCCTAAAAACGGGTACCACAGAGATGTAAATCTGTGATTGTCCTTCAGCATCAGGCCTGGCGCCCTCAACAGTCTGTTAATATGTTAAACATCTCCAAATCGTCCTTTGCCACAAAGGGTGTGATGTCCTTTTTTTTTTTTTTTTTTTGAAAAAAGCCCCCACCAGTGTTAGTGGTGCTGATAAGAGCAGACACCACTAGCACCTGGGGAGAGGCTCCATCTATTGGTGGGGAGCATCACCTGCTGGAAAACGGGTCCAAAGTTCCATTTACAGACTACATTTAGAATACATCACAAAAACAATTGTGGGAGATTAACATTGATTACATTGGGATCCAGGGGATTGACTGAGCAGGCTATTGGAAGGAAGGGGGAACCTCTTCACCCTGAACCCGGCGCCAGATGCCTACTGCTTCAGGGGTACCACATAGATTCCTACGTCAGTTTTACGCATCCAAAATACTGTGCCTGTTTTTTGTTTATCTCGCACCAAAAAAACAGTAGCTCGGATGTTGATGAGACTGATGGGACTATTTTAGAGGTAGGCAGGTGCTAGGGTCTGCATCTATTCATTCATTGCGCATGTGCATGCCTTTGGAAGCGGCCATTGAGCCATTGAGATTACCTGCGGGTGTTTGCTCCAGCTTGGGCTCATGGGATTGACGGCAAGCTTCGTCAAGACAGGCGGCAGTGACCACTAACGCACCCTAAAAATGAATGTATACAAGCAATATTTCCGGCCAGATACAGCCAAAATGAGGGTGTGTTCGGGGGAAGACCATAGTCGTAGCAGCCATGGACGGGATAATTTGTAGAAAGAGCCCACACGAAAACCTTTCCGGTTTTGGGCTCCCGAAACACGGCCATTCGGTACTACGGCCCCAAACAACTTTCCCCTGGGTGAAAGGCGCCTTCGCTCTCTGTGGCCACATCTCCCTGGGCCTGTTTTTTACCGGTTCAAGAATTGGCGCTGTTTTTACGCCAGATTCATGAACCGGTAGGGCCCTTCTTATTCAAAAACGCCTATGTGGGCCTCATTCTATACTTCAGCTGTACCACCACCGGCTTCTTTTACATCAAAATGAATCTGGCGCTATTATTTCATGATCCGGTAGGGCCCTTGGAGCGACCCGTGGGCCTGTAGTACCCCATATGCAAGTCATTGGGGATGATTGGGCCGGTAGTACAAAACGGCCGAGTTTCGGGCGCCCAAAACCGAAAAGGTTTTGGCGTGGGCGCTTTCTACCCATTATCCCGCCATGGGACTACCAAGTTGATCCTGCCTTGGTGGATCTGGTCATCGGCACCGACGAAGAAACGGTATAATAATTTGGATGACTTGATTGACCGACCTTCGTGCGCAGCCTTGCTCACTTGCTTTCTGACGCTTTCGACTCACGCTAAACCAGCTGAATTTTCACTTGCTTGGCTTATTCAAGGGCATGAGTACTTTCTACCTGTATCCTTGCGCAATAATTCGCTGGTTGCTCTGCAGGCCACTTGCACTGCTCAACATTGTGATGCAACAGGAGGAGATGGCACAAAGGACTGAGGTTGACATTGAGATTTCTGCGTTCATACTACTACTACCTTTCATTGCGCTGCTCTCCTCTCTGTCTTTTCTTGCGTTCTTTTATCAGCTGCAGACCATGCCGCCCTCTTCGCCTATTGCCCTACCCAAGCATGCACAGTAAATGCAGGTGTTACCCTGTGATGAAGCCATGAATTTGTGCACCGCCAGCGCACAGTAAATGTAGGTGTTACCCTCTGATGAAGCCGTGGCGCACAGTAAATGCAGGTGTTACCCTCTGATGAAGCCATGACTTTGTGCATGGCCAGCGCACAGTAAATGCAGGTATTACCCTCTGATGAAGCCGTGAATTTGTGGCGCACAGTAAATGCAGGTGTTACCCTCTGATGAAGTGGTGAATTTGTGGTGCACAGTAAATGCAGGTGTTACCGCATGGCCAGCGCACAGTAAATGCAGGTGTTACGTGAATTTGTGGCGCACAGTAAATGCAGGTGTTACCCTCTGATGAAGCCATGAATTTGTGCATGGCCAGCGCACAGTAAATGCAGGTTTACCCTCTGATGAAGTCGTGAATTTGTGGCCAGCGGCAGAATGAGCGGAGAATAGGTCCTGGCCATCCTGGACACACCACTCGCAAAACCAAGAAAAATGGGAATGCATATTCATCTACATGGTGGCCGGATTCATCCCTTCCCATTCATAGCAACGGATGATCGTTGACGACTTTTGTGGAAAGATGCACTTCAATTTTTCGTCTTTTCGTGAACGGTGTGGCGAGGGAGGCCCATCATTTACTAGATAGTTTATGCCGGAAAATAAAGGAGACCCCAGAAACTTGGCAGAAAGTAATAAAAATGAAATTATATTATAAAAAAAAAATGGTGGACGAGAGACAGCGCTGCATACTCGGTCGTTGCGCACCTGCCAGTGGTCGTTATCGCAGTTTCCGATGAGGGCATCTTCACCCTACCGTCTTCCCCCGAACATAACGCACCCTAAAAATGAATGTATACAAGCTATATTTCCGGCCAGATACAGGCAAAATGAGGGTGCATTGTGTTCGGGGGAAGACAGTGTCCTGAATGTATATCACCGCTACCGGACCTGGATGCATCTGACCGCAAAAACGTCCACATATAAGTGAAAAAGACCTACCGTCTTCCCCCGAACACAATGCACCATCATTTTGACTGCATCGGGACGGAAAGATAGTCCGTATACATTCATTATCAGGGTGCGTTATGTCTCCCCTCCCCCCGCCCCGTCAACCAATCCAATCCAAGGGCCTTGATCCCCCTCTATGTACTTAGGGCCAGATCCCACTGGCAAAGAGGATTGGAAGAAGTGTCTGAATCTGGACGTGTTCCTCGCAGAGATGCAGAAAAGCAGATCAATTACAGTTTTTTGCACCTCTCCACAAACACGTCCAGATTCAGACACTTAGGGCGTCCTTGGACACACCTCAGCGCTTCCTTGCACTCCGAGGACGAATCTAATTTTTTATTGTCGGAGGTGTCTTTCCACCTGTCCTCGGAGAATTGCCCCGAGGATGAATCCTTGGGGCCCTCCCGCGGCCAGTTTAATTAGATTATACACAGCCACGAGAGGAATGTCCGGCCTCCTATTCGGGATGTCCGTGTAGCAGTCGTGGTGGTCCAAAACGCGGACGGCGGGAAGACGTGATGGGCCCTTGGAAAAAAAATCGCCAACGCGGGAAAATCCCCTTTCAAAATTCGAACTTTGAATTTTGATGTTGCGGAGCGACGTGGTGGCGGCGCACAGGCGGGTCAGCCAGGGGGCAGCCTACGCCGCGCAGGGTTTCGTTTGCCATCGCGTTGCGTATTTCAGCGGCGCCGCACCCCCACTGCATAAAGTGTGGGCGACGCGGCGAAACGAAGATGTCTGGTAGGCAGTCGCGTTCGCCACGTGCAGGTGCCGCGGCGGTCCTGCTCTTCAGCGGCGGTGGGTGGACGCTCCAATCGGAATCGCGTCGTTGGGCCATCATCTCCGACCTTCCTGACGTGGTTGCAGGCGTCTTCAAACGTGGCGGCAGAGGTGCACGGAGGTGGGCGGCGGTGGACGTCGTTTTTTGTCTCCGAAGGACGTGATGGACGGCTGCGATGCCGATGGACCTGCTGTGCTGTCAACGACGGAGAAGACAGCTGTCGCGGCGGCTGCGGTTGTCGTTGTCCGTCGTTTTCAAATCGAGAGTGCGACCGGGCACATGAAGGCAGCGCTTTCCAGGCGGCGGCAAAGGCTACTGCTGCAGAGGGTGTTGGACGCCCCGGACTGCATCACGACATCCCAAGCCGTGGTTCAGCTGTGTGCTGCTATCGGGTGCGGTTTGCTTCCTCGGGCGACGCCACGTTGGTGGATGCGGCGGAGAGCTGGTGGGACTTGGGAGGATTTACAGGTTTGCGATGACGCGACAGAGGACTACTTCCGGGAAGCTCCACATGTCGAGGAGAGTGTTCATGGAGATCAGCGAAGCATGTGCGCCTCATGTGCAGCGGCAGGTGATGTTTTACAGGGAGCCACTACAGCCGGAGCAGATCGTCGCATACGCGCTGTATAGGTGGGCCACAGGAGAGTCTTACGATAACAGCACATCATCCTTCAGCATGGGCAGGACTTCCGGAGTTCGAGCCGTGCGCGATGTGACAGCCGCTATTTTGAGGGTGTACGGGGAGAAGATATCGTGGCCGACGGGGGTGCGGAAAGAAGTCGTGCTAAGGGCCTTTATGGACAAGGGCTTTCCAAATTGCCATGGCGTAGTTGACTGCACACACATCTACGTGGACAAACCGGCGAACGCGCCTAGCGAGAACTACTTCGACCGCAAGCACCGTTTTTCCGTCATTGTGCAGGTTGTGGTGGACCTGGATCTGCGCATCCTTGATGTGTTCGTTGGATATCCGGGTAGCTGCCACGACATTAGGGTGATCCAGCTGTCAAGTTTGTTGAGGTGCGCGGAAGAGAGATTGTTGTTTCGTGGGCCGCCTGTGACGCTGCCGAGAGGGGTGACGACGAACGGATACATCTTGGGCGACAACGGGTATCCTCCTTCTGAGTGGGTGATGGTGCTGTATGGAGGAATCAATCAGCACCCGGACGAGGAAAGGTTCGACACGAAACAGAAGGTCGCAAGAGGGGCCGTGGGGAGGGCGTTCAGAAGGTTGAAAGGGATGTGGAGGCTCTTCCTGCGGACGCACAAGACGAACCTCGACAGTCTGCCGCAGCAGTTCACAGCGGTATGCATTCTCCACAACATCCTGCTCGATGCAGGAATCGAGTTCGACGAGAATTTGTTGTGGGAGGTCGACGCGAACGGGGTGAGGCGGCGAGTGGACTTGGGGATTCATCGCCCCCCGCAGCCAGTGTCCATGTTGACTTCGACGCGCGAGGCTCATGCGCTCCGCAATGCACTGGTGGAGCGGATGAAACACGTTTGATCAACCCATCCGCCTACCTGTTCGTCCCGTTGAAGTCGCGTCCCGCCATAGTCGCCGGACAACTCTTTCGTCTTTCGCTCACGCGCGCGATCGCCAGTGAGGGTCTACCGTTGCGGTCGGATTCTTTTCAGGTCTTTGTTCTTGTACTCGACGACGCTGTATAGGTCCAGTCCGTCGCGCAGCGGGAGTGCGACGGGGTCGCTGATGTAGTACTCGTCCTCTGCATTCGTCTTTTCGTATTTCGGCTCTTCATTGTCGTCATGGCCGAGAAGTTGGTTTTCCCGCACAATGTCGTGAAGTCGTCGATGGATTGGGTCCTTGTTTGATGGGGGTTGGGGGGCGGGGGGGGGGGGGGGGGGGGTGGGGGGGGGGGGGGGGGGGGGGGGGGGGGGGGGGGGGGGGTTGTTGTAGACGGGAGTCGTAGTGGAGGGCTGGCACGAAGAGGTTCGTGAGCCCCATCTGCACCGCATGCGCTTCACACGCCTTTTTTTGTTGAGAACTTTCGAACGGTGCATATTTTTGATGATGTTTGGCAATGGATTTTTCGGTGTACCCGACAACTGCTATTCTTTCGAGGGATTTTTTTTTTTTTTTTTTTTTGCGGTGCATGGAACGTGTGTTGTGCATGTCGTCTTGGCTTGTCTGCGTTATTTTCCAAAAAGCTCTTCTACTTCGTTTTTGCATTGACGAATGACATGCATCGCGTTTGTGGAACCTGAAAAGCTTCGTTGTTGCATTGACGACTGACATGCACGAGCGAACACGGGCTCATACACAAGAAGATGCGGACGACGATTTGATGGCCATTCACGCGTGCGTCATGTGATAAAACCACACATAAGACAACGACGACACGACTCAGTGCGCAATCTTTGGCATGCAAACTCAAGACATGGAAAAAGCAACACACATTTCACTGAGTTCATATTACATAAAATCAATCGCATACGCGGCGATTCCCCCTTCTGTCTGACTATGGACACTTCAAGCGTTCCGCTCGTACACACGGACTGGTCCTGCCGTCTACGCAAATTTCGACGGAGCAGTCCGCCGACCCAATTAACCCTGCGGCGGAGCAAGCGTATCGAGCGCGCTCCAATCACCTAATAATGATTAAAAAAAAAACGAATGCATCGTTCACTACACATGCACCACGACGACTGCAAGCTGACATATACATGACGACACTAGAGACTAGACACTCGAGTCGACGATCCGCACCCTGACGCTGCGCCACGGACGCACCCACGTGTCAACGTCCTCGTCTCCCACTTCCTCCGCCGCAGGCCCGCTGCCAATCCATCCGTGTTTCGCGGTTTCCGCCGCGTTCTTCCGGGCCGCGTTGTGGCCGAACACCGAACCGCAGTCACACCATTCCGGAATGCAGTGCGGGTATTCTCCCAGTGTGAGGTGAGCCTTCCCTATACGATCCAAGACGAGGTTCGAGCTGTCGACGAAGTGTTGCCGCCAATTGAAGATGTACGACCCCGCCGCTATCATTGTCGGTTTGGCGACCATGGACGAGTAAAGGCACGCCTCGTAGTGCGAACGGTCGTCGTGACCACCCATGCGCATGATCCACATGCACGCGCTCAACAACGCTCGAAGACAGTCCGCAAGCAAAGAGAACCTCTCCTCTTTCACGCGCCCGCCGTTCGCCCATTGTCCACACCACAGTGCGTTTGTCCAGCACTCCACAATGCGAAGAATTGTCGCCTCCCGCCACGCCGCCATGTCATCGTCCTCGGGCCGATCCACAATCTTCACCCCCGCGAACCACAGAGGCACGTCCATCTTCAGCGCCAGAGTGTGGTACACGAGTGCAGGGGACACGACGTTCGACCATTCCTGCCCCTGCCAAACTGCTCGTGCGACGTCGGTGGCAACGTCGACACTGATGTACGACTCTGCACGAGCAAATCCAGCCGACCGCGACAATGATTTGAAGATCCATCCGTGGATGGCGCGCAGCACCAGTTTCTCGACGTTGCGCGCTCTGCGCAAAGCCGGTTCACGCTGCGCAGGGTCCTCGATCTTGAAGCGCGGCATGTCGTTCAGCGGCAGTATGAGCATCGCAGGTGGTTCAGCTCCCGTGTCTCCGTTGGCGATTGCGATGAAGTAGTCCGCGCACTCGCCAACCGCCTCCCTCAAGGTTTTCCCCGGTCCCTGACCCCAGAAAGAATCGCAATCAACCCACAATTTCGATCTTTCCTGCAGACCATCCTACTTTGCGGCTCCCTTCAACCTCGTCACAAGTGGACGGTCGTCGTCGTTGTTGCCCTCCCGCTTTCCGTCTCTTCTTCCCTCGTCGTGGCGGCCGTCGTCTACCCTCTCCTCGCCCGCACCTTCGGCGACTCCGGTTCTACCACTATGATCCGCCGCCGCCGTCCGAGTGTCGATCGCCGTTGCATCGCCCTTTTGCGCGGGCTCTGCTTTACCCCCCCCTGAAGCCCCCAACTGTTGCAGTGGAAGTGCCTGACGTGGATGGCCCTGCCCCGTCGCGGCGGGAAGTTGCCTCGGGAGGTGCACCTTCGTTATGACAACCCCTACCGCCTTCGGGGTCCTTAGCGACGCCCCGGCAGCACCAACAGCAATGCTCTGCTTGATAGCGGACAGCTGTTCCTCGTCACCACATCCCGCCCGAAACCCAATCGCGGCGCCGCTGAAGTACCTTGCGCGTCCACCATCACCACTTCTTCTGGCTGGAAGTCTGCAGTGTGCTCGGAGCTCGACTCTTCAACGCGCTTCCTTTTCGGCTTAGGGATGTGCCCTCTGCCTCTCTTGGTTTCCCCCTCGTCGCCCGCCCCGCTATTTTGCCTGGCCTTCACTGATGCGTTCCTCGGGGCCATGTCGTCCGCAACTCGGCAACGACGAACACGTGCACGAAGGAGCGCGTCGACGAAGGAGCACGTGGAAGTACGACGCTTGGAGATCGACGACGGCCACGTCGACGAAGGAGGACGTGGACGATCCACAGTCGTGGTGGGCAGGAGCCGTGACGATGACGGCCACAGAAAAAAGAGCACGTGCTTGCGGCGCGTGAGGGGGGACTGCACGCGGTGCACAAAGCTCGAGCGTGGAGCCGCAAAGGGCGGGAAGTGCTAGCTTGCGGCGACGAATCAGTGATCAGACGACACCGTCGGAGACGTGGACAATGGAGTACTGCCGCACGGACTGCGGGCCGGAATCTCCTTTTCAACGCGGTGCGCCAACGCCGCACACCATGTACACGCCACGCCGTCCACGACAGCCCGCCCCCTGGCAGATCGGACACGGACCGTTTTTTTCCCGAAGGCTTTTGGTGATCCGTCGTATGGCCAACAACGCATGTGGGCGCGCAGGAGGACCATGGTGGAGGTCAAAAGACCCCGGCACCCTTCCGTCGCCCGCCACCCCCCAGAAAAACACACAGGAGGACCATGGTGGAGGCGCCCCTGTCCTCCATTGTCCCCTCCCACCCAAAAAAAAAAAAAAACACCCTGCCACCCATTCCTTTATCCGACACCAAACCACCT